GTCAGTGCACAGTAAACCAGTCAGAATTGCCCTGATGAAGATGACAGATGGTCATCGAAAAGTCGGCTCGTGAAAAATAAATGGTTGTGATCAAAGAACTTCGCTATTCGTTCGTTTACCAACCTGATGAAACTATTTGTTTGATCCTTTTGTGGACGCTGCCGGCTGAGCTCACACCCCATACTTGGTTGCTGCTAGAGCTGACGTAAACTTGTTTCAGATCTCCTTCGATTAGCTCCAAGCTACTGCCTTGAGGTCTCCCAGCACTTAAATCTGCAACAAAAGTTTTTTTTTCAAACTTTATTCATCAAAGGCAACATTACGTAACATACATGTATACATAAATACAAAGTTTACAAATTACAAAGAACATGTTTGTACATTCTGTTGTTTACTGTGTTGAAATATAAAATGATTTCTGATTTGAAATTACGGTATAGATCCATTGATGTGTATTTATCATTGTTTCTTTTATTACACCAGTTCTTAAATCTGCACAAAAAGATGCCTGTCTCAGTCATTCGAAGGACGTTGTCGGTGAAAGCAAGTAAATCATGATGATCCCAGTAAAAATTTGCTTACGTATAGTTATTCCAGACAATCATGTACTTTCCAGTGTACTTTTTAGATGATATGTTACTCTATGCTAGCTACATAATAAGATTAGGAGCCTACCTCGTCGTACGTAGATCTGGTTGTTACTGTTGACACCCCAGACCTCGCCGTCCCCAGACGTGATTTGTTTCAAGCCACTGCCGACCTGTATCCAGCTATATCCTGCTGAAGCCTCATTACAAAACGTTCCGGTGCGGTAAAAGTTCTGGTTGTAGCTGTTGACGCCCCAAACGCCGGCTCGTCCAACAGAGACGAATTTCATCGCCACCCCGTTGATCTGTTGCCAGTCTGTCCCTGTAGGTATACAGACGAGGAGTACAAGTGTCAAGACAGAACACAAATTTACGCCAAAAAGCAGTTACTAAAGCAACTGGATATGATTTTGGAAACGGTCAGACGATTCATCTAGTATCTACTAGCTTTCGTCAGTGACTGAGAGACCAGAGGAGAAATGCAGATTTATAAGCACAAACTATTGATTGATATGCAAATAAAGTGAATACAATTTTTTGTAAGGCGAAAATCTATCAATCAATAGTTAGTGCTTATAAACCTGTATTT